TCAAACAACATAAATCAGTAAATGATACAGATTCCAGATTACAACAATAATACAAACAAATCTGTGGTTTAAACACGTCAACTTCATTTTTCATGAAATAATGATATGGAAACATGTGGGCTGCACTTCGTAAACACTGAACATATCGAGACACCAGACAATAAATCCGCCTACCGATCCACAGAAATGAAATGTAAGGTTGCTGTGTTTTTTTTTGTTTTGTTTTTTTTTGGCTTGCAGCTTTCACTATTTGAAAATTGCATTCTACTACATTGCAATGTCAACATTAATTTGATTCATTGCTACGCCTTAATAAAAACCCAACGGCCGGGGCAGAAAAGTCATGGCTCAAAAAGAAGCATGTTAAGCTCATACTGCAGAGAGGCCTCGTGAGTCTTCCACTGCATGAGCACATCGAAAAAAACATGTAACACTGTGTACTTGAGATGATTGTATCGTGTTATGACATTTGTTCAGGCCAAGAGGTAGTCTCACTAATGAGCATGCATGAAATCACAAGCGGTTTTCAAACTAAATAAAGAGGCAATATTTTCTCATGGCAGAGTGTTTCTCTTGTCATAACAACAACTTGACACAATCGAACAATAATGCAGAAAGCTAAAGCTTCATTTGTACAACACACTCTTTCATAGCCAAGATGTGCTTCATTGAGAAACAAGGCAGCTACAGAAATGGCAAGAGCAACAAAAGGACGTCATCGAGAAAGAGACAGCAGGGCTTATCCAAAGGCTTCAGCATACTGGGTATTCAGCAGACCTAATAGCAGAAAGAAATGTGCTCATGTGTGGTTCGTGGTAAAGTCTGATTTCTCATGGATGATTACGCATGTAGGCAAGCAAAGTCATGATGTGGGCTGAATAAACTTCTTGGAAACGTATTTTCAATTTTTTTTTTCTCAAAAGTTTGAAGTTTGACCCAAAATTTTCTGTCAAATCACGGCAGGCTGACTGAACACTCTAAATTGTCCCTGGGTGTGAGTGTGAGTGCGGATGGTTGTTCGTCTCTGTGTGCCCTGCGCTTGGCTGGCGACCGGTTCAGGGTGTCCCTCGCCTCGTGCCCGAAGACAGTTGCGATGGGCTTCAGCACACCTGCGACCCTTGTGAGGTTAAACGGATTTGAAAATGGATGGATATTTTTATAAATAGAAGAGGGCGGCCCGGTTCCAGTGGTTAGCACGTCGACCTCACAGTGCAGAAGTACCAGGTTCAATCCCAGCTAGGGCCTTCCTGTGTGGAGTTTGCATGTTCTCCCCTGGCCAGCGTGGGTTTTCTCCGGGTACTCCGGTTTCCTCCCACATTCCAAAAACATGCATGGCAGGATGATTGAATACTCAAAATTGTGTGAAAAATAGGTGTGAGTATGAGCGTGGATCGTTGTTCGTCTGTGTGTGCCCTGCGATTAGCTGGCAACCAGTTAAGCGTGTACCCCGCCTACTGCCCGAAGACAGCTGGGATAGGCTCCAGCACACCCCGCGACCCTTGTGAGGATAAAGCGGATCGGAAAATGAATGAATGAATGAATAAATAGAAGAGAGGAAATACCTTTGGTCCATTCATGGTTTGAGCAATAAGATGATATAATTTCTGCTGAGTCATAAACTGTCTCTTTTTGAGTTCCTCATCATGACTAAAAATGTTTGCGTATGTGTTGAGAGACAACTTCAGAGCACAGTTACTACTGCTCGTACTCACATCCAAAATCCATGTTCGATGTTCATTTTATCATTCAAGCAGCAAATCCCGAATCAACTTGAAAGAGTTAATTTTTCTTTTGTTGGAAAAAAAATATCCAACTTAATCATAATGGTTGGTAGGAGTGCTCTTATTTAGCACTTTATCCGCATCATAAGTTGTCCAAAGCGCTTTCCAATTTTTTGAAAACATATTGGAGCGGACACGCTAATGCAGCACCGTCAAACTATGGAAAATGTTTCTTTTTTTTTCTTTTTTTTTTTTAATTTAAAAGGAATTTACATTATCTTCCAGAACATTGACCAATGGCAGAACCCACGGTGTTGTTTTCACCTTTGGTAAAGTCTTAAATCCATCCACGTTCTGTCGCTAAGCTAACCTGGGAGTGTTTGTCTCTCCAGTCCAATGTCCAAGTTTGCAAACTTCTGTCATGCTAGAATGGCATCAGAAACCAACAGTGAAGTAACAACAACGGCACTGATATGCTGCCAAATGGGATTAATTGACTGATTGCCTATCAGTTTATTTTAAAGCTCATTAGCCGACTAAACAGTCCCATACTCAGGCAAACCTTTCACTCTTGAAGAGCGTGCTTCACATGAAAATGTGAGACCCAAACATATTTATGTCACACGCATTGACATTCAAACATTCCTGTGACACAGGTACCCGCACCCATATGGTATGGTTCATCCTTACTCAGGTCAGAAAAATCTGATTCTTTTTCTTAATTCTTTTTTAATGGCCAAAAACCATCTCAATTCGAGTCACCAGGGATTCATGCACAGCCCTAATTGCTACTACCGGTTTTTAAAATATGTCTGTAGTGAAAAACAAAAAGTTTTTTAACAGTTACTGAAAATGTCTTTCAATTCTGGAATGACCGTGGTGCTGGTGAGCTATACGCAGAATCCCCCAATTCATTGGTCATGTGCTTGTCTGTATTGGATATTCACTGCACATGCGCAAAACAAGAAGCTTTCGTGTGTCAACCATTTCGATAAACAAAAAGCAAGTGATTTATAGGCTTGGAAAAAACTTCGGGAGTATAACAACCGCTATGCATTCAGTCCTAGTCCAATTGGAGAAGGAGCTTCACGGTTCAAATTGCAGGCAGTAAGGTCAATTTGTGGAAATTGCACTCAACCAAGGCTGACTTTCCCTGCTGGTTCTATTCTTTTCATCATGGCTTGGTCATCTATTTCAACAGTTCAGGACACACCATCATGTTCATACGCACTGCACACCAAAATCACCACACATTGAAATTAGCTTCTTCCCTCAATAGAAACTTTGTGAACAACCGAGCCATGTTCTTACTGTGACACATTCGGCATCATTTTTTTTTTTTTTTTTTTTTTTTACAACTACCGGTTTTGGTGGCCTTGTGGTTAGCACGTCAGGCTCACAGACGGGAGTTTTGTTTTGTTTGAATACATTTCCGGCCTTTCAAGGTACCCTGGCTTTCTCCTGCATTCCAACAAACATGCATGTTACGTTGTTTGAAATTGTCAGTAGAGGTCAATGAATGTGCGTCTATATGTACCCGACGACTGGCCGAGGACCAAGGGTGGCAGAAAAGTGAGCAATAGATAGCACAATACAGTATTATTGTACAAACTGTGTAACAGTGTACTGATCCATCGATGTGATTACAGTCAACAAGTCCCATTTGTTGACTGTAAAACAAACAAACTTGTCAACTCCCAATATAAATCATGCCTTAAAATGTACATTAATTCAAAATGAATCAACAGCTGTCGTTTTCTGTAGCCCTAAAAAGCAGGATTACAGCAGATGACATTCAATCATTTTCAACAAAAACTAGGCTGATCTGAAATACAGTACAATATTTCATGTCTTGTTTTTCTTCTTTCAAATTTAGTCTCAAACTAAATCAGTATGCCGGCATCTAGTGGATGAAAGAGGAATTACACCCTTCCAATTGTCCCATGGTGTGGCACAGGTTGATCAACAGCAGTTATACAAATATGTAGAGGATCAAAGCGCCATTTAATTTATTGATTGTGTGTGTGTGTGTGTGTGTGTGTGTGTGTGTGTGTGTGTGTGTGTGTGTGTGTGTGTGCGCTCGCGCGCGTGCGTGTGTGCGTGCAGGCCAACCAACCCCAATTAAAGGGTAAACATTCTTCTGCTATTAGTGCAGCAACACTATGTTAATTGCACAAATCCATGTAATTATGGTAAAGTGACATGATCATGCACTCTCTCATTTGAAATTGCAGTACTTACTGCGTGCAAATGAACTGTCATGCAGGATTTATACTGACAGTTAAAGGCAGACTGAAGATTAATAGGTACTGTATATTGTTCTAATTTTAGCCCCTTACTTGCATCTTTCCTCTATCCTCGTGGTCAATCTTGTAAACTGCTGATACTGTGGATGCTTGAGAGGGAAAAGGCTAAAAGCTGTCGCTCCAGCTCCCATCACAACATGCATGGATGTGCGGCGACAGCTGGTATGCCACGATTGTTCTGAATTCCATTATGCGATGCATGCAATGAAGTGAATAAAACAAGCGGCCACTGCGGTGATGCAGACAGATTTTCTGGCATTTGTATGTCAGAGGACACTCAAATCGCAAGGTGACATTGTCACTAATTTGTCAAGAGGTAATAAGGATTTAAAAAGAAATAAAATCGTCAATCTGTCTCAAAGGTCTTTCGCTTAAGTGCAGCTAACGCTTTTGTCCGCAAGATGGCGACAGTGAGCCAGTGTCCTCCTTGCCTGGCCTGGTGTCCTGATTCTGTTTTAGAACCTGGATGGTAATTTCATCGAACTTTGACAGCGATAAACATTCAACTCGGGCTAACTATTACAAACAACTCTCTCTCTCTCTCTCTCTCTCTCTCTCTCTCTCTCTCTCTCTCTCTGTATCTCTCTTTATATGTGTGTGTGTGTGTGTGTGTGTGTGTATATATATATATATATATATATATATATATATATATATATACATATATATATATATATATATATATAGTTTAGTTTGTTTATCTATTTAAACAAGGTGCAATATGATGAATATTAAGATGATTTGTATCGAGCAATTACTACAGGGGGACAACAGATCAGATTTGGATCTGGATTTTTTTGGGTTTGATGCCTCAAGCGGTATGAGAAAGGCAAAGCGAGCATGCTTTATTTGCGCGTTCACCGTGTATTAAATGGAACACGGTCAGCAGACTACAGCGTGTCTGTGAGAAGGAAAAAAAAAGTGTGTGAAAGAGCGCACATGTCACTGCGCTTGTCCGCAGAGACGCGCTGAAGCTGCGAGAGCGCGCAGACCTCAATCCGCGATGTTGAATCACATGCAAACAACGGGACTGTTAAGGATGTTCGGGGTCGCGGATGTTGGACTTGACGCTGTTTTGCTCAAAATGCAAGATTTGGTGAAAACACTGCGTTCTTTTCCACAAGAATTGAATGATGATGAGAACGATTACAACTGGAGGTGGATGAAGGTATGTGTGACTCTAAATGTTCAGCCGTTTTATTCAGGGGTAAATGTAAAGAAGCTCGAAAGGGACACTTCATTAGGTACACCCGCACACTCAAATGAGTGGTGATGGAGCAGACGGTGACAAATTATGTGCAATAACAATGCTTATTTTTATTGGAACTCACAGTGAGATGAATGTGTCTATGTGGCTGTAGCTTGCAAGCATGTTGATGTGTATACTGCGTCATTTCTCTTACTTTCATCAAATGAGGTAAACAACATATGAGAAACAGTACTTTGTATACAGTCGATAATATAACAGCATATTGTTATGTAGTTTAATTGCTATTAATGAAAACTTTAGACTATTACAAAAACAGTTTTGATCATTGTGCTGGTTTTCATATACTAATATAGCATATTGATCATAAATTGTTCACAACCATACCATTTCTCTTATTCCTTTAGCGGCAGCAATTCATCTCGTTGTCCTTATAAAGAGATGTGTGCTGAATAGACAACCCCACTGTTCAAGTTGCCGATTCAGTGACCTATAAATTGAGCAAAGGCAAGAAATGGTCCATGTAATTTCATGAAGAATGTTTGGGGACAAAAATGGTGAAACAAAAGTGTTATTTCACTGGTGTTGTTCGTCCACAGGCTTGCTGATGACCTCACCGGGCAGACATGTGATCTCTGAAACTGCAGAGCTTTGGTTACACTGGGGAATTGAATTACTGTTACCTGTTGAGCACGGAGGCAAAAACTATGTCAAATCTAATCTATCGAGTCAAAGGGCTCATCCCTTCCCCAGAGTGGCGCGGCCGAGAGAAGCATCTCTTTCATCATTTAGCAGAAGATAAAATGATTCTGCGGCAGGGTAGCCTGGAGGCATGTTAACCTGCGGTTGTGATGGCGCCATCTCTCCGCAATATGACTTGAATGACACATTCAGGGATGGATATCAGGAACAGAACAACAGCCTTCGACAGCGGCTCTTCGGACGAGGCTTCCTCAAGTCAAGTCCTGACGGGTTGTTTCCTCTCGCTCCTCATCCTCACCACACTGTTGGGCAACACGCTGGTCTGCGCAGCCGTTATCAAGTTCCGCCACTTGCGCACCAAAGTCACCAACTTTTTTGTCATCTCGCTGGCTGTGTCAGACCTCTTGGTGGCCATTTTGGTGATGCCTTGGAAGGCGGTGAGCGAGATCGCCGGTTTCTGGCCATTCGGTTGCTTCTGCGACACCTGGGTGGCCTTCGACATCATGTGCTCTACAGCTTCCATTCTCAACCTCTGCGTGATCAGCCTGGACCGCTACTGGGCTATCTCCAGCCCCTTTCGCTACGAGCGCAAAATGACACCCAAGGTGGCGTTTGTGATGATTAGCGCGGCGTGGACGCTGTCCGTCCTCATTTCCTTCATTCCAGTGCAGCTCAACTGGCACAAGGCTCAAACGACATCTTTCAGCTCACTCTCTTCTACGGCCTCCACCTTTCTGAGATCGAACGTGACATCAGAGAACTGTGACTCCAGCCTGAACAGGACCTACGCTATCTCCACCTCGTTCATTAGCTTCTACATCCCCGTCGCCATCATGCTGGTCACCTACACCCAAATCTACCGCATTGCGCAAAGGCAAATCAGGAGGATCTCCGCCTTGGAGCGAGCGGCCGAGAGCGCCAAGAACAGGCACGACAGCATGGGCGGAGGCTCTAGCATCGCCGATTCGGAGAGCTCGTTCAAGATGACCTTCAAGAGGGAGACCAAAGTACTGAAGACGCTTTCCGTGATCATGGGCGTGTTCGTGTGCTGCTGGCTCCCGTTTTTCGTGCTCAACTGCATGGTGCCCTTCTGCGAGCAGTCGAGTGGGGGGAAGGCTTTCCCCTGCATCAGCCCCACCACCTTTGACGTGTTCGTGTGGTTCGGCTGGGCTAATTCCTCCCTCAACCCCATCATCTATGCCTTCAATGCAGATTTTCGCAAGGCCTTCTCCATCCTGCTGGGCTGCCACAAACAATTTCCAGGAGGCCACAACATCGAGACAGTTAGTCTAAACAAAAAATGACTCACGCCTCGCTCAGAGGACTGACTCATCCGCAGAGGGGTCCAAGCGTCCCCCCATTAATGCCAGTCGGATTGCCTTCGAACAGAGATGCTGCTCTGTGTGTGTTAGTGACTTCAAGGCGTTGACCCTGCGTGGATCCTCATGGTTGGACTGGGCAAGTGGCCCGACTCCGGGCAAACTGTCAGAGTGAGCATGCTGACTTCATGTCTTTGCATGGCAAGAGAGCCCAGATGAGAGGAGGGGATTTGGGGATTGAGATTACGACTCTTTGCTGTTATGCCAGGGAGCGCTGCGGTACTGAGAGGCCCGTGGAATAGATAATCCCATGACTGGGCAGCGTACGCCAGACACTGCTCGCTTCAGTAGCATCGCACCATACTCAGCATACAGCAGCATGTCCACCACGCCAGAGAGATACCGTAGATTAAAAAAGTATGTCACCAATCTGCTTTTACACTGGAAAATGTTGATAAAATACAATTTACCATTTAATCACTGATTGTTATTATGTTAGAAGGCTCTTTCAGACCCGCAACCTGAATTTCATTCTGAAGTTGTCAGTGCATCAAAACATTCAGGTTGTGTCTTATTGTTCTCACCCCAAAATATAATTTTTCAGATCCATTTTCAACTTTATCATGTCTGCCCTCTTTGTTTGAATTGGTTTTACAAAAAAGGGGCTCACATTGCCGCATATGTTAGGGAAAAGGCAAAGACAACCTTTGCGCTACTTTTATGCTTGTCTATGAGATCATAGAGAATTGCATTTCAAACGTTTATGTCTGGCGGCCCGGTTAGCGCGTCGACCTCACAGTGCAGAGGTCGTGGGTTCGATCCCGGCCGGCTCCGGCCATCCTGTGTGGAGTTTGCATGTTCTCCCCGTGCCTGCGCGAGTTTTCTCTGGGTACTCCGGTTTCCTCCCACATTCCAAAAACATGCATGCCAGGCTGATTGAACACTCCAAATTGTCCCTAGGTGTGAGTGTGGGCGTGGATGGTTGTTCGTCTCTGTGTGCCGTGCGATTGGCTGGCAACCGGTTCAGGGTGTCTCCCGCCTATTGCCCGAAGACAGCTGGGATAGGCTCCAGCACCCCCTGCGCCCCCTGTGAGGATTCAGCGGTTCAGAAAATGGATGGATGGATAACGTTTATTTCTCAAATTGTTCACTGTTAACAATTAAACACCACTTTTGTATTACAGTACTGCAACTTGGAATTACTTTCATAGCTGGACATCACTTATATATACAATATTTCAACTTCAAAGAAGACTTTTTCATTTCTTGTATCCAATTAGTTGTGTGTCTCTGCAAACATGATGGCACAAGAAAACCGATGAAGTGTCATGGTTCCGTTCTGTTATGCTCCAGCGGGTGGCAGAGGTGGACTTATTTCATTCCAGCTCTGCACCTGCCCTCTACCTCCAGGGACATAATGAATCAGTTCGTTAAATAACAGTCGTTTGTCTAACCATTTCCAACAAAATGGTCGCTAGCTACAATGCATAATACAGTATGAACATTTATAGATGTAAAAACCTGAACATGTAATACACTATAAACATGTCAATTACGGCTATACAGTATGAAGAAAAAAATGATTTTATAAGACATGAAACAAACGCTTGTAGCATTCCTACTTCATCTCTGAAAACACTCAGTCAGCAAATGATAAATGCCTCTTCTCCAGGTCAGGATGTGCCGCGCCCTAAAGCTGTTTCCGATCATCTTTCAATCTGTTGGCCTCGAATTCTGCCATGATTTTGTTGCCATTACGGATGACTGTTGAAATATTTGACTCTGCCAATTTGAAGTCTTGGCTGAGCTTCGTGTGTGAGACTCCTTTTCAAAAGTGAACGAAAATTTCAGCCTTCCAAGACAGCGAGATTTACTTCTGTTTACCAGACATGTTTTCTGACGATGTGCCCAGGACCGCGCTGTGCCTCCAGAAGTACAAAAATGTACGAGTTGATCAATAGCATTGCTAAGCAACGGAGGAAATCCCGTGCTCTACATTTTGTTCATAAGCAAGTTCGCGGCGGCAGTTCATTGTAATAAAGGCCTTTTCACTATTTTGTGGGAAAAATCTGGTCGTTATAATGAAGTTCATGTTATGAAGGTGTTCGTTGGAAGCAAAATCGGCAAATGGAAAATAAATCACATGAAATCGGGACTGAAATGTGATCGTTATAAAGGTGAAAACGTTAACGGGGGATGTTGAAAAGACGTTCAACTGCAGTCATTTTATTTAGTGAGCTATTCGCGGTTTGTATTTGTCGCAATTTGGTTCTCTTGTCCTTTTGAGAGGAGCTATTTCTGTTTGTATTTTTCCTGCCTTTTCGCCAGCACGTTTTGTTCCTCTCGTTTTATCTTGGTTTGTTGACCAGCGTCATTATTTGTACTTTGTGGGTCTTGCAATTTTTGCGTGTGTCCAGATAATTCAGGAGTGTAGCATGAAGAAGCTGATCAACTATCTGGGCGCAACAGGATTGTGTCTGCAAATTGCAGCGCAGTTCATTTTGTGCATTATGGGAGGAGTATATGCAAACAGATGAATTTACTCTAGCTGACACAATTTGCTTTATCACACCTGAGTTGAATCATGGTGACTTCCTTATATACAGTGTCAGACGTTGCAGGGAGAGTGCGTGTGTGAGCTCAGGGAACATGATTTTTTTCACCTTTGTAGAATAACATGGCATTGCACAGCAACGACAGGAGGCAGTGGCACTCTCATTGACAGAAGGGTTACAGAGAGCATTAGGTCTACGGTGTAGCACGGTACAGGATTTGACGAGCAGTTAACAAAAGAGATACCAAAGTAGACCACAGGGATGAAAAGAAAGGCGGAGCGAGACTAAAAAACAATGTTAAGAAAGATCCTCTTTAAGTTTATCTCTATTTGGCAGAGAGTTGGAGGGGTATGGAATATTTACTTTGTCCTGGGGGCACATAACATCAAATAATGGAGAAGCAGTGATATTTATATATTTATATACAGACATAAATATGCACACACACACACACACACACACAACCTCATTAACATGCGCGAAGATGCAGACGCGCGCACGCACGCACGCACGCACGCAAGCATCACACACACACACACACACACACACACACACACACACACACCGCTAAAAATAAAATGTCAATTATGGTGCCGTTCGGTTTGACCTGTCACGGGTCTCATGCAATATCAGTATTTCAGTCCAAAGGGCAAAATCGAACAAGCCCAGCTGTGTCTCACATCTAAAAAAATCCCTTTCAAATAACTGGTGTTCACATGTCATTTGTGTCCGGTGATGTCGTGCTGTCATTAGCAACATGACAAGCTCAAGCTCGAGGAGTGAAAAGCCTGGAATGATAAAGCTGGAACACCCACTGTGGGCCTGCTTCATTCCTACAATTGCAATTGTTTCTTTCAAGTCATAGCAAAAGCTATTTTTCATCCCGAAACGACTGAGAGAACTTAAGATTGGACTTTATTGTGCGTCAGTAACTTTGTATATTGAGGATGAACCTGTCACAAAAACCTTACATTTAGTTATACAGTATTCAGGTGATGTGAAGGGCAAGCAGAGTGATGAGGAGGTTCACCCAAAGAATCAGAATCTGTCACTGTGCACCAGACAACCTTGAAGCGACAATTTGATCCAAACTTCATCAGTGATTGACTTTGAAACCCAGCAGCATTCATTTCAACATAATGATAGCTTCCTAGCTGATAGAGATGGACAGTGATTATATTCCGCAAGATAGGTCTAACATCACGGCAGAAAGATTTATTCATCTTCTATTAACATGTTACATAAACAGACAAACAGGCTATCCAGCCAATCAGCATGGCAAACAACGTATCCAACAGAAGGGTTTGGAACAGAATCGGACTCTCAAAATATGGGCTCAGATGGAATTGAACAAAAAGAGTTTATTAATACAAAAACGCAAGATCGGCAAAGTACGACAAAAATGCTACTGTAGTTACAATAACCAGGGAAAATCAAAAACTAACCAAAAATGCTTGGAAAAGGCAAGGATAATATGAACGGAAATAGCTTGTCATGGCGGCCCGGTGGTCCAGTGGTTGGCACGTCGACTTCACAGTGCAGAGGTACTGGGCTCAATTCCAGCTCTGGCCTCCCTGTGTGGAGTTAGCATGTTCTCCCGGGCCTGCGTGGGTTTTCTCCGGGTACTCCGGTTTCCTCCCACATTCCAAAAACATGCATGGCAGGCTGATTGATCACTCTAAATTGTCCCTAAGTGTGAGTGTGGGCGTGCATGGTTGTTCGTCTCTGTGTGCCCTGCGATTGGCTGGCAACCGGTTCAGGGTGTCCCCCGCCTACTGCCCGAAGACGGCTGGGATAGGCTCCAGCACCCCCCACCACCCTTGTGAGGATAAAGCGGTTCGGAAGATGAATGAATGAATGAATAGCTTGTCATGAATAGACAAGAAAATAACCAAAACACAAAGGATACAAAACCGAGACGAAGCTTAGCAACAAAAATCCTCACTATAGATGAATGCAAAAACAAGGCAAGAAAATACATGGCGTGAACAAGAGAGATCATCTAGAGAATTCAACACGTGGAGACAAAGTCATGAGGAAGGTGAGGAATAATCCCACAAAGGCTTGACACCTTGACAGGCCTTAAATATATGACTAATTGATATGAACATTGTCAGCAGGTGTGCACACTGGAGGGAGGGCCCTCGACTGCCACCTGCTGGAGACACACAAGAACAGGATCATGACAACAGCAAATTGTAAGTTGCCCAACTGTGGAAGTTCTGCAGTATTAGTGCTTGATTGGCGAGTGGTCCGACGTGCCCCCCGCATCTCATGGATGCATGAATAGTGACTGCACATACAGGGCCGTGGACTGTCCTTGACTTGTGAAACCTCCTCAAGCATGCTGGCAGAAGGGATCAACAATTGCTTTGTAATATGACTAAAATTGCCACATTTCATAAATGAAAATAAATGACGCCCTGCTTGACATCTTATGGTCCACGGCCCCCGCAGTCCCGACCCCTGTGAGATTGTATGGAGCCCCTAGCAGTGTTAAATTTTTATTTGTGTCCATGTTTTCAATGTGATTTCAAGATCTTGAGAACATCAACAAAAGCAAGGGCATCTTTACCCACTGTCACTGCCTATGTTCTGCCTACAGTCATTTTCGAGAAGACTTTTGTAGCTGGTAGAGTCTTTGGATTGAGTTTATGTGCAGAGTTGTAGCTGAGGTTATGTTTTGAATCTGTGGTACACATGTGTCAGTACAGCTGTATTTAGGGTAGGGTAGAATAGGATACCATCATTGAATGAATTGTTTATTAAAGTGAACCGTATTTGTCTTCTGTCTCTTTTATTTCACAAAAGTCAGGAATTTATGTAATAATCACAGACACACAGTGAATACTGTTTCCCTACAAATTATAAACTTACTGAGTTATAAACAGCGAAGACATATTTTGTGAACCATGGCATGCACAATGAAAACACTTTTCAAAGAACGTCATAATTATCTCCACTAACGCTGTCAAGCTAAGAATGAGCCTGGGAGTCACGTTTGTATACAGTATAACATTTTCTGTTTTGATGACGTGATATATTATCGGTTGCATTAGACAAAAAAAAAAAAAAAAAATCCTGCCCGAATTAAATCAATACAGCAAGCGTTACTTAATGACCAAATAAGAAACTATTCCACATTTTACGCGATAGATGGCAACCCTAATATTCTGACCGAATGAGGTGGCGACTGTGACACTCCAGCACTTTCACCTGCTCCAGAGTGTGACCCAGAATCCTAACAATGTCATCAACACGGTGTAAGCAGAGAGAATT